TAGTCCCTCCACAATTGCTATGATTCTTGTTCTTGTCCTCTTTTTCCACAGAGGGTGAAACATCCTGCATCTCATTGTCCCTTCTGTCTCTTTAATTAGAGACCATCCTCCCTCTTCTCCCCCTCGCTCCTATGTCCCCCCTTCCCATCTCCTCTCAGCACTTGGTTTGCAACACTCTATTATTTCACCTTTCATGTGCACCGTCTCCTTTGCCTGGGCCTGTCTGACACCTCTGCCTTATGCTTATCATAGAAACATAACATTTAAATACAAATACAAATGGAACAGGAAATAATTTAACCCCTATTTGCACTGGGGAAAGTGCCGAGGCTTCGTATAAACACAGCCAGGGAGATTTATAGATGCTCTGTATTTATTTGGCATGTTACATTTCTTCACCACTACGCCTTGCAGCCAGCTTTTCCTGACAGGCACAAAACTCTGCAGCTGGCAGAATGGCCAAGAAGAGAGAAGCCTGGTTTCCTGGGGATACTGGAAATGTCACCAGGAAGACATCTCTGGTTTGCCATTGCTGTGGGCATTCTCTTCCTACCCATCTTCCTGGGAGGAACAGAGAGTACTGGTTTCTGTTAGTTGACGGCAAAATGTGGTAGACTTGAGTTGAACTTAATTTTTATTATTATGGTAATGACTCAGGTTGCTTGTGGTGAAAACTTCGTGGTGCACCAGCAGAAACCTCTTCAGCTCTTCTGAGCACTACAGCACAGAGAAATAGCCGTCCATGGTTATTTCTATTGGCCAAGCAAGCATGATGGACTCCGGTTATAAGGAAAGACTGATAATGGGGTGAACACTAATGAGGGAAAAGAAAAAAAGTGTGCAGAAGAGGCTTATATGGACACCACATTCAGCCCCTACACTGTGGGGCAGTGTCACTGCTCAGACTGCTGCTGTTAAGAGCTGCCTCTACAGCAAGGTTAGAAAGGTTTTTTTACTAACATGTAATATTTGGGCATGAGATAGAAACTGCAACTGTCACTTCGGTGTGTGTAATAGACAGAAACTTGGACAGGCCCTTCCTGACAAAAGCAAAGGAAAGATGCTCAGATGTGTGTCAGTACTTGATGCATGACTACATATGGTCTTGAGGAAGCTGCATAGAATAGGTTTTCATCACATCTGTTCTTAGACATAGTAAGTAAACTCATTGTCTTGATTTCCTTCATAGGAGGGAGATACAGGCTGCTCCTCATGGCTGCCCACCTCTGTTGTGTAAAGACAAGATAGTACAGTGAGGTGCCATCCATGGCCATTGGCCAGCTTTGACTGGAGCACACAGTCATGTCTACGGATCATGTTGGGGGCATCCCAGATCATGGGCTCATGCCTGGCCTCTTTTTGTTCATGTCTTCTGCCCCAGAACAGTGGTGTCTGTTCTTCTTAATGATGTATTCACTTTGGCCTGGGGCACAGGTCTTAGCGGTCCTGATCTGAAGGTTTTTCACCCCTCAGTCCCACAATCTGAAATGAGGATGATAGCATCAAGCTTGGCAACGGAGGTCACAGGGTACTGAGTCTGCTCAGTGCTCTGAAATTCAGATGTAAGTCCTGAGATATATGGATCTGGGGTAGTGTCTCACTGAGAGGAAGAAGCATAGGACTCAGCAGGGTGGTATGGGTGGACCATGGGAGGTAGCGATGGACCCTACACCCTACAGACAGGCAGAAGCTCAGGGACACCTTGATCTGGGGACTGTGACAGGTTTGTGTGCAGCCTAAACCTCTGGTTTCTGCAGGATGTAGAGTGGACTAGTCAATGGTAGAACAAGGTACTGTACTCCATTTGAGGATGCTGGAAAAGTCCGGCAGGAAGCACTTACAGTGTGCACGCATGCTCAGACACATCCTACTGACGTTAGCACATTTTATCTTCATTTTATTCTAGAAATCTCATGGCCTTGTCAGACATATTTACAAAGCAGAAGTAGTTACTCTGGCACATGGCATGTTAGCTTTTTGTTTGGGACCTGGAAGAGCAGTGTGAGGGGGCACTCGGGGTGTGACAGGCTCCTTCAAGCCCATTAGAGGATAAACTCATTAGTCAAGACCTCAAACATGCTGAATGGTCCCAGATGCTGGACCGTTCCCTCTCTATTTCCAGCAGAGATGTGTGACAGACATTGTTAAAACACTGCTGAGCTCCCTGGCATGGCTGGGACGTGAAAGGTAAATGCGGCACTTTGTTAGAAGAATCTCTCGTAGAAAAAAGCTTGTTAAACTGACTCATTTTTTATCAGCTGAGTGTGTGATTGTGTAGATTTTTAAGTGGCAGATGTAACAAATGATTCCCTTGACAACCCAAGGCACACTTTTTCAGGAGGGAGACAAGGCGCTGGCTTGGAGATGGAGCTGTAGGTGATGTCCAGGCAGTGCAGAGCCCTGGCTGGCCATGGGGGGCCCCTTCATGCCACCTTCCCTGGAGCAGCTGGACCAGCAACCCCTGGGGAAGGTGGTCCTCACCCTTGGCAGAGCCTGTTCTTGGTGGTCTGACAGCCACATTGTGGGCAGCTAACCAAAGCACCACATCTTCTGCCAGCCCACTCTGGGGACAGGCATCACCACTCCTAGTGTCTTGCAGAGATGCAGAAAAGGGAGCTAAAATTAAAAAACAAAAACAACAACAACAAAAAAATATTAAAAGTTAAGTGATTCCTAAAACACCTGGTTTTAGGTTTGCATAAACTAAACCAGACAAAGCAGTTTCAGGCCAGTTCCACACTAGAGAGTTTTGCTGACAGAGGAGGGATGTGATTTTTTTTTAATGATACATTTATATTAGCAAAAAGCCTGGTGAAAATACAGTTACACAGTTATAGGAGTGCTTTTGCTGATGCAGCTTATTTGAAACAGGAGAAACTGTATAAAGTACAATATAACAAACACTTCCTCTGTGCTGAAAGTATTTACTAGACACAAACTTTCTAGGCAAACCCTATTGCCAGTGGCTTTCCCAGTTCATTCTCACTGCTCTGCCCTCTTCCTAAAATATCTGTCGTCTTCCAGGACAGCTGGTCTTATTCGCTGGGTGGGTTTTCCTCCAATATCTGGAAAATCATTGGCGTCTGGACTAGACGCTTTCTCCAAGGCTTTGTCTACCCCTAGACTGAAAGGTGCCCCACAGATCATGTACTCAATTTCAGTAGCTGCCTCTCTAAGGCTTATACATCACCTCTGGGAGTCTCTTTTGCAGGTTAGTTTGGCCATCAAGAAAACAAAGCTTTCAGATGTCCAAAGCACCTTTTCTTGAGGCAGGGACAACCTACACAGTGTTAGTTAGGGCTTTATGCATCATTAAACCCTGAACTTTTTGTTACTAGCAAAGACCTCAAAAAGTCCCTCTGTTTAATCAATTTATACATAAAGTAGGCATATTTCTTGCTTTAACATATCTATCAGAAGGCTATTTCTATTTTTCTTCCGTATCAGAAATGCACATGTACCCTCCTCAACCTATTTTTCCTACAAGCCTAACTGAAGGAAGCATAACTTCTCATTTTTTGTGGGCAATACAATTTTCATTCACATGGATAACTCAACTGCAGGACTGAAAGCTCCTAATATCCTCACTCGATATCCACTGCATGAAAAATTATCCTCATCCAAGGCTATAAAGTAATTTGCCAATTTGCAGGTGTATCTTGGAGAGGGGAATTTTGATCAAACACTTGTTGAAGCAGAAGAGATTGGCTACACCAATGATTTGTCAGTGAACAAAAGTGCCATAAATTGCCCAATTAGTCAGCCAGAAAAGCGTTGTCACAAATAAATGTTTTGTTCAGCTTTAGGTTAACATGTGCATTAAAAATAAATACATTTAAAAATCAATTTATTTATTTATTTACATATATTTATTCAAATTGGTTACATCTGCTCCATAAACTGCTGTGAAAAAATCTTTTGGTTCACACATTTACATAGTGCTTAATGAATGATAAATAAGACATTTATGAATCATGTGCAAATGGCCTGTTTACATACACATTGTAAACTATGTAAATTTTTTTTTTTTTTTTTTCCTTGCTGTAATGGTACTAGTCTCTGAATATAAACCTGATCTATAGACATCACTCAGTGCCCTCTGAGATCTTTCTATCAATCCAGCAATTATTAATTTGGTCTGTTTCCACCAACATTTTCTGAAGGTGTTTTCTTCTGGACTGAAGATCCCCATACTTGGTGTATATATATATATCTCTATACAAGCCTTCCTTGTTCAAAATACAATTATCTACTAGCAGACCATGTCCTTCCTTGACATGAAATACCACCTGCTTGAGCTAACTCAGATATTAGTAATCACATAAGTTAACTTAATGTTTCAAAAAACAATATATGCTTCAAAAGCTTTGGGTTATTTCAAATAAGCTTTAAAATATACATTTAAAAAATCATCCAAACTTGTAGGTATGTGTCTGTGAGTGGGTATGAATGACAAATCTCCGTTTTCAGGCTGTGGCTTCCGTTATATCCTGATTTAGAACAGCTTATGTTAAACATTTTTTTTCCTGCAACTTATTTAGTATTGCGAGGGCTACTAACTTATGTTATTTTTCATTTGGACTTTATTTCTACATGCTATCTTTATCCACATTCCTCTTGGATCGCAGTCTGAGCAATGTTGTCATTTCAGTTGCTGCAAGCTGACTGCAAAAATCGATCAGGAAAAGCTGCCTTGGAAGGCTTTGGTGCCTAGATTTTGAGAAGCAGCTAAATATTTTACATATAACCAAACCTTTACGGGTTTTGGGAGTAGTTTTTTGTGTGTTTAGTTTGTTTATTTTTTTATATTGCCAAATTATTTTCAAGTACTCATTGAAAGTCAGATGCTATTAAGGTTTTTTGAGCCAGACACCTGAAAAGACTAGCAGCTTCTGAAATATGTCACCTCAATGTTTGTTTTGCATGTGATACTAAGCCATCCTGGCTTTCACATCCCTCCTGAAATATGGTAAGCATCTCTTTATTTTGTTCCAGAAGATAGAAAACTCTTTGTGGGCATGCTCAATAAGCAGCAGTCAGAGGACGACGTGCGCAGGCTATTCGAGGCATTTGGCAACATTGAAGAGTGCACAATCCTTCGGGGACCGGATGGCAACAGCAAAGGTAAGGTGATGGCTTGTGTCAAGCTAGATCCGGTCTCAGCATATGTATCATTTTCTGGCACAGCAAAGTCACTAGGTAGCCACCAGGACAGCATCTCTTAGATTAGGAGGGGCCACATTTGCCAAGGGAGGCCATTTCTTTGCTGGTCACTGTCTGCTCTTGCATGAGAAAAAAAAGCTGACTGCAGTTAAAAATGCATTCTCCCAATGAGCCGCATGCAAACTGATGCCTAATACTGTTTGCAGGGCACAGCCTCTTGTCCGGAACACAAAACACTTACATTTGCTCTAAATGTGTTCTTCCCACATTGTTGAACAGACCCATTGTTTCTGTAAACAAAGCCAAGGTTCCAACTTTACATCTTGGCTCAGCAGCCACCACCATCTCTGCTTATTTCTCACTCACCAGACCCAGGTCTTCCCCTTCTTCAGCTGGTCTTTACATAGATACACACCAGACAGTGATCATAATTCCAAGGGTTGAAGTGCTGATTTAAATATTACACGCAGTAGACATTTACTGTTTGAAACACACAAATGCCTTATTACAAAACTAGGTGCCTTACCTCCTTCTGCCACTTTTTGGTGTTGTTTGTTACTTGGATAGCACACCAGATCCTCTTCTACAGCCTAGGTGTAAGAATGAAGATTCTCTCTTGAATGTGAGGGTCATTCTTTTTTTTTTCCTGTCACTCTCTAGACAAAGTAACTTCAATTTGAATAGGAAGCCCTCTTCTCTTGACAGTATAATGTGTACATTAAATATTTATCTGCGTATAATATATCATAAACTGTGCTGGAATGTGCAGCACCAGAGAAGAGACCAGTCCTACTGACACAGTTCATATCTCACTGGATATTCTGACATGTGACGACACCAACCAGCATATTTTTGCAACAAGGAGGCACAAAAAATCAAATCACAGTGATACTGTGAAAGATATTGCTATTCTTTAAAAATACTGTCGGCCAAAAAAGACTTCACACCAGTATTATAGTGCAGCTGTTTGATATAAGTCAGCAAAACTCAGCTTTCCTGATACAAATGACTGAATACAAACTGAGGGCACCTTTCTTCAATAGTATGGCTACTTTAGTTTCATGACATCCAAAGACAGGGGCTGCCTCACTGGAAAGTGATAGGCAAGGTTGGCCTAGAAGAACTCCAGCCATCATAATGGTAGGCAATTAAGCACTCCATTTACTGAACAAATCAAGGAGAAAATAAAAAGGAAAAAAAATAGTCTGCCTCCACTTGGAATTGTACAGAAAAAAATCTAATGACAAAGGAGTTAAACAGAGTAATAACAAAGGCAATAATGTCTGAGATCTGTAAGGAACAGGTTCCAAAGGAGATCCAACCCCTAGACTTTTATTCATACTTTCTCTCTCCCTCTCTTTATTTTTTTTTTTTTTTCCCCCTTAAACAATTTCATTATAAGTCTGAATCTGAGTGGCAGCTCCATATTGCTAACCAGTTTAATTATTAGTGCCAGCAGGCTGCAGTCTCAGGCTTGCATTTCACTGAGCTGCTCAGGATCAATACTGAGCCTTGACAGAGTTAATATTACCAGCTTCCATTTGCTGGTGCTATTTACTGAGAATGTGAAGCTCCTAATTTACACACACAGAGTTACATACACGCACACACTCACACAGAACAGTCAATCCAGAAGAAAACTTAAGGCTAGTGCCCTTATCTTAGGAGACAGTCAGGTAAACCACAACTCCTACAAAGTTATTCCTAGTCTGTAATGTTTTCCATCTGTTAGAAACCAACATGTGACACACATTGCTTGTGAGCTACTTGTTTTGGGTAAAACCCATAAGGATTAAATTCCATCTAAATTGAGATTTAAGCAGATTGTCTAAGTGCCAGATAGCGATCAGATCCCATAGACTTCAACCCTACCCAACCCATTATTTGAAGCCCTACAATGCATCCCTGTGGTGAACCTCTAAGTCCTCCAGGTACCTCAACACAAGCAGTGCTCTGAGAGGTAGATCTCAGTTTCCAACCTGAACACCACCACAGTCCAGTCACAGGTGGAAAGCTGCCTGAACCTTGCCTGAAGCCATAAGTGATGTCCTGAGCCATGACTCATGCCCTTCACAGAAATACGTCCTGCATAAGTGAGATGGTGTCTGGAGCATGCAAAGAGGTAGCAGAAGAGTTGAGACTGAAGCATTTCTCTCCCTGAAGGGAAAAGCACAGCCTGTCTCTCCTGGATGAGGTGGGAGAGGAAAGAGCCTTGCTGTACCCCTCTGGGTAAAGCTCACCAGTGTGCAACCAGGAGTGCAGTGGGTCCCTCTGGATAACTTCTTTTTTTTCCTCCCTTTTCCCCCTAACCCCCCCCCTTTTTTTTTTTTTTTTTTCTCTCCATTCAGCAGTTGTCTACTTCAGTAACTCAGAAAATAAAGATTTCCCACAGCACCAGAAGTTCCACAAGAGGAGTCTTAACACCCTCTGCAATTATAACCTTAAGCCCTGACTCTGCAGTCTCCCCTATGCTGACAAGACAGCCAGAGCAGCCCTTTCAGCTCTATAATCTGGAAATAAGGAAAGAAAAAACATTTGAGCACATGTTTCTCCCTGTTCAGCACAGATTATATTTCTCCCTGTGTGTCAAAATCCCTTTAAACTCCACATCTACTCCTGTCAGTGGGACAGTGTTGTTCTGCAGAGGGTGGCATGACTCGTCCTCAGCTCATGAGGTACTGGAGTCAATTCCAGTGAAAAAGGTGGGAAAGAAGATTATATTTTTGATATTTTGTACAGAAGCCATCCCACTGAACATACAAACAGAAGGGCCAAAATGTTGGGATCTCTGTTATTGCCTTACCACCGTGTACCAGTGAAAGCTGAGTTTTCACTTGTTCTGCTAACCCAAGCCTACTGGAAGCAGTAGGACAGCTCTCATTAGCATCTTAGGCATTAAACAAGACAAATGCTTGCTTCTCCTTTCATTCCCACCTTTATCCAGCTCCACTGATCCATCAGGTTCCTCATCACAGGAGTGAATTTCACCTGAAGAGAGTGAAGCCTTCAACATGACAGCAACACTGCAGCCAAAAATCCTGCTCCAAATGTAATGGGTGACTGGAGCTAAAAAGCTTTTGTGTATTTGCTAATCAGCATCTTCTTTTTAGAGGCAGAAAGTACAAAACAATCTCTGCAAATAATTAAACACCCTAATTCTGGATTATCTCTGATTAATGAAGAGGAAGGCACAGTATCTCAGGAGCCCGGGAATGCTGGGCTGTGATTATGTCATAATTGATCCCTATTGTTTCCAGCTGAAGTTTATCTATCTCATTTTCTCATTATTGTCTGCTCTCAGCTCCTTATAAATTAGATCCAACTATTAGCAGCAATTGTTGTGCTTTTCCTGAAATACAGTCTGCACACACTGCTGAGGGGATAATGTAAAGTGAAGAGCTCCTAACTGTAAGCTAATTTCATATGTGTGTCTTATTTTTAGAAGGGGCTATCACTGCTTTCTTCAATCTTACTTCTATCAGCCTGCAGTGATGATTTTGGGGACCTTTGGGGCTCATTCTTCTAGTTTGCAAACGGAGTGTTCCAACACTGCACTTTTCACCCTGGACTCTATGGATTCATAAGAGTATGTGGACTGTCTGAAGGTGTTGTAAAGGCAATAAAGGAGAGCTGTCCCATTGTTGGGACTGGCACCTCCTGTGCAGTGATCTGCACCCCTTCAGGGAAACAGCTAGGGCTTTGCAAATTGATTAAAATCTCAAAAGTCTTTAGTAGTAATAGAAGAGGAAGGAAGACAGAACTTCTCAGATCTCTCCCAGTCTGTTCCAAAATACACCTTAGCGTATGGAAATTACTCTTCCTCTCTCTGAGTCAGTTTGCTTGTAGCTAAGAGTGTTAGCAATACTTTCCCCCACTGTAGTGGTGCATGTGACCCTTTGAAGTGCTGATCATTTCTGCACTCTGGCACATATTCATAAATGCACCTTTCTGCCCTAAAACCTTATGTAAGAGCTCAGTGTGAGATTCCTCACGTGGCAATGCAGGCTGGGGAAGCACTGCCTGGATTTTCCTGGTGTCCAGAGAACACTTATACAGGCAATGGCTCTGCACCTATGAAAGACCAAGGTTCAAATTTTGGTGGTAGCAAGATGGCAGCCGTCACATGTGGATCCCTCCTACTCATGTTTCTTCATCAGAATTTCTCTCATGCTTTCTCAGACCAAAGTTGCCAAGACAAGCTCTGAGCAGTCTGTCATACATCTCTACCAGATGATGATATGATAAGGTACCTTGAGGATTTAGAATAACCTGAATGCCTTCTTTACAGCTGTCCTGTGGTTGCTTGTAACAAGTACATGCAGCTTTCTGATACCTTTTACACAATTACTTACTGTTTCTCATAACACCAGAGGGAGGAGCATTCAGCATTATGTCCAATATAAATAAAAGGAAATTCATTTTCACCCAATAAATTGTGTGTAAAATTGTGCAGTAGTCTGACGTGGGAAGCTGTGGAGGTCAAAACACGAGCGGATTATAAATGTACTTGCTAAGTTTATGTCCATTTGTGCCCATTACAAGCAGTGTAAGAATTCTGGATGCAGCTTTGCCTTAGCTGGGCCTCAGGCTGCCGAGAACTTGACTTTGGAAAGGAATAGCCAAGAGCACATTTGCTTGTTAAACTTTCTCCATAACCCTGTTTATTGGCCAGTTATGAGGACAGGAAACTCAGCTACATGGCCTTTCATGGTATCCATGCAACCTTTCTTATGTTCTTCTTTTTCCTCTTCCAGGGTGTGCATTTGTGAAATACTCTTCACATGCCGAGGCCCAAGCAGCCATCAATGCCTTGCATGGCAGCCAGACAATGCCGGTGAGTAGCTCTGTAACGTGGCCAAGTGAGGACTGGTCCTTTGCTGCCCGGTGGCCTGATTGAGGGAAAGGGATGATTTATCTATTCTCTGCAACAAATCTTTCGGGAAGGATGGATAGCAGCTCAAGCATGCAGGACCTTGGGTGTGCTTAACTCATCAGTGGAAAGGCCAGAATGACACTATCATTTCACACAGGCACAGAACCCCAAGGGGTGCTGTGTTCTCTCTCCAGCAATTTTGATGACCTGAAAAAAAGATAGATGGTTCACAGATGCCAAAATCTTCGGGTCAAACTCACCATGACTGCAACCTTTCAAGTTTCAGAGGGATGAATTAAGTAGAAACTTGTGTCTAAGGGCTTCTCTTTTTTCCCGTCCCCAAAGAGTCCCTGCCTCTAGGTGAGGGGCAAAGAACTTTTTTACCAGCATTCAGCAGAGAGCAGCATTGTCACGTGATGGCACTAGAGGCTAGAGACAAGTCATACAGTGATGTGTACCTCACTGCTACTACAAATGTGCCTAAGCATAAATATGGTCCCTTACATCCAAACTTTGAAAGACAGTCAGACCAGCTACTGGATCTTCCAGGAAATATTTGAGAGATCATTCCACTAGGACAAATATCTAACAATATGAGGTTTTTAGCCTGATAGTTCAAGAAAGTAAAAATTGAGATGTATATTCTATGCAAAATTATATTTGTACACCATCACACAGATCCAGAGGAATGTAAGGCATTCTACTGTCAGCAAGTAAAGTTCTACTGGTCTGACATGTTTTGGTTTATTATAATAGTATATTATTTTTATTATTAATTATTCACAGTGTAAATCATGAAAGGCTAAGAAGTATGCCAACAACTTGGAAAGGATACAGGAAAGCTCAATAAAAAATATTTAAGAGTGTAAAATACCCCTTTCAGCAAAAGACTTCAATATAAATTAATTAATTTATCCAAATAAGTTTAAAGTGGGCCTGGCAGATTGTCTCTAGATCTTTGGAGGGACAAAAATGGAAAATTCTTTACAGGGGAAAAGGTTTCTAAAAGTAGCAAATCATCAAGATCTCAGTTTTTGGAACCTCATTTTAGACAAATCAGTTTAAAAATGATACATGTTTATCAGTGACACTATTGAAAAAAATCTGCTTAATGATGGGAGTCTCAATCGTTTGAAGTATTACGATACCTTTAGGAGTCTCTTCTTTTTAACAAAACCAGATGTTGGGCTTGATGCTGATATCCCATATTGAAACATTATGGGTGTCTTTCCTAAGACAGGTCAAAGAGGTACTTTAAATGACTTTCTTTCAAAATTTGACCCAAAGTGATAGTGTCTGACATCAGGAATTGCAGTTCCATAGGGTACGGTACCAGAAAAAGGTGTAATAAAAAGTCAGTCCCTGGCCCAAAACATCTTGCAAACTCATGTGACAGTGAGAGGTTGACAGGATAAAACAGACAAAACCCAAGGAGAGTTGAAGATTTTGTCTAGATCTAGTGTACCCAAAATATCCTTATCCTTCATACTTTCACCACACTTTAAATAAGAAAAAAATACTCATCTCTCAACCACTTGGGAGTAAATTTCTGTTCCATCCTGCTGACACGAGCTGAGCTTAGGATGTACAAAACAATGAAGAATCTGGCCATTTCATGGGTCAGATTTTTAGTGGACCATTTTTCTTGTTGATTTATTTGACTCAAGTCCCTGTTATGGAAATGTTCTTGAATAACCTGTTCTAAGCATCTGAAAAAGCATTACAATTTAACCCTTAATAATGCACATATCAGCCTCATAATCAAGTTCCATGGCTTGACAAGTTTCCATCAATTGTCTGAACTTCAGCAGCAGTCCACATACCTACTCTTAGTTCACAGGAAAAGCAAATAGAAAATTATTAATTTCATCCTCTTAATTATTAGCTAAGTTATTAAGTTAAGCTAAGGCATTGCCTTGTACCTCCCATGAGCTATGAGCATATACACAGGCAGTTACCATAGCTCGGCAGACTAGTGAGGACCTGTCCACCACTTGATCAAGACATAGAGTCCATACTGTTTTGCCCACAGGCCCTCAAAATTTTTAAAGTGCTTTGAATGAAATGGGCCAAATCCTGCAACTGATCTCTGTTCCCATTGCATTTTCATGGTGCTTCAGGGTGTGCAGCTTCTTTCAGGGCTTGGATGTTCACAGAGAAATGCAGCCACCTCGTGGTGAGATGGCAGTGTAGTCCTCGTCCTTGGAAAGGAGGGGTGCATTGCTGCCATCTTCCTTCAGTCGTGTATGTGTCCCCCATTTCTCTTACCATTACGACTGGCTTCATTTTTCCAGGTGCGATGTCAACTCAAAGTTGTTCCTGTGGTTCAGCCAATTTAAACGTCTCTTGCCTTGTCCTCGTGTACTACCAACGGGGCATCCGTCATCATTCTTGTCAGGTCTCGAGCCATTCGTTCCTGCAGCAGACTCCTGTTTCTCCACAGCTGTCAGGATTATTGCTCTACTGTGACTTCCTGTTCACACAACATATGTTGCCTAATAGTTTCAAAAGGCAACTTTCTTTTATGAAAGTTCTTTTTTTTTTTTTTTTTTTTTTTTTTTTTAATTAACCTTTCCTTGGACAGGTGCCTGACCATCACTATCACAAGCCCACTTCTCTATGCAAGGTGCTTGTTTCTCCTAAGGGCTCAACAAACAGGTCTATAGCTTTCCAATTTTCACACAATTGACAGCTTTTAGAAATAACTTTGCCAAAATCCCTTACTTTTGAGCAGGCCTTCTGTATCTGCCTGCGAAGAGAGCTTTTGGGGGTCTTCTTAAATCATATTGCCTATCAACTCATCAGCTTGATGCTAGTGTTTTACTGGACCTTCATGTCCTCCTTTATAAGAGATCATAATTTTCAGGTAGTTTTGCATGTATTTATTATGTATTTATATATATGCCCTGTACTTTTAGCTTTGGTTACTCTGTTCCCTCCTGTCTCTCTTCCCTGTCCATATGGGGTCATAAACACGTTTCTTCACATGATTCTCTTTCCTTCCTCATCCAAGCCTTGTCCCTAGCAGCCTTATCCACCAACACAAATTCAGCTATTTCTATAGTGACATCTTGCAGTTCTAACTTCTCTACTGCAGGAATGACTCCTGTCCAAACTAAAATCTCTGCCTGTCTTTCCAGCATCTCCTAGTGGATGTCGAGCTGTCAGATCAAGCTCAATATGTATAAAAGAGAGCTCTTGAACTTTTCCTCTCAAACCCTGTCTCCTCTCTCCTCCACCTCCATTCTCAACCACTGTGGATAACATTATCATCCCACCTGTCAGTCATGCTCCTACCTAGGCATCATCTTCAGCTTGGTTTTCTCCTTCTCTCCATGTTTTCATATCCAGGTGACAGCCAAATATTAAAGAGTCGTTCTACACAACACATCTAACACATCTAAGATACAGCCTTGTCCATCTGCCCACACAGAATAAACTCTCCTACAGGCTTCATTATGCATCCTTAAGTTGCAGCAGCCTTTATCCTACCCAGAAAGTACACAGGATTAAAAACTATACTATTGTTCCATGTTTTTCACCATCTCACCTGCTGTGGCACCTCAGAATTTCTTTTGTTATGAATTAATTCCTGGAAAGGGTAGAACAGTACTGTTATCTACATTTTCTGCATAGTGGTGAGATGAAGTGAAGAGTTTGATTCATATGATTTAGCTTTAACATTAGTCTAAATATCTTCTAGGATTCCTACAGGAAGGAGAGAGAGGTAGAGATTTCTAGAAATTTGTGCATTTTTCCCATTATCTATCTGTGCTAGGATGGGCTACATCACCTTTTGCACATGCTGGTCCTTTTCATTAATTATAATGGAGATCCCCATAACATCATGAGACTGAATACCTGAAGTGGGACTCATCTCACCTAATTTGAGACATCCAGAAGCTAAGGAACTATGTCTAAGTTTGTCATCTAAGTGTCTGCCATCTAAGTTTCTATTATAATCAATAGAGAGAAATAGATGCCTCTGGAGGATTTTTATTTTACAGAAATAGATTTTGAAACCTGTCAAACCAAAACCAAATAGAAGTATGCTTTTTAGCTAATTTTAGGTGTCGGATTCCTATGGTCTGCCAGTTCCAAAATAGTGAGTCTTCACTTGAAGTACAAGTTAGAATGTGGATGTGGATTTTTAAGCATCCATAGTGCTTAAAAACAGGAGCTAAAAACAGTTGCTTCCTGCAGATATCTCAGAATCTACAACTGCATTTGCTCACCAGTGACACGCCCTTGCCACCCTGAAATCCTTCTGGTGGACTTGTTGCTGCCACAGTGATCTTGCTGGAGCTAAAGGTCTAGGGTGACTCTATACCACCTAATATTAGCCACTTACAAGTCAGATATTAAAAATGTTCACTTTACCTCTTGTCTGGTGGTGATTCCTCCCATATAGCTCAGACATGTCATTTAAGATTACCTGACTGAGCCATGGAGGCATTTGCATCCCCGCTGAGAGTGCAGCTTAAGCATGGGCACCTAACTTCATATCCAATGCAAGGGGAGCTGAATCCTGTTCTAGCTGTTTGCTCCCCAACTAAAGCAATTTGGGAGTCAGAAACCAGACAATCCCACATTCGAGTCCTCTGACTCCTCATCCATTAGGTGTACTGTGAACTTTCCTAACATACTAGTCATAGAACTACATTCATTCTATTTCTTTCTTTAATTAATGAAATTTAAGGCCATTAAGACCTCCAGAACCTGTAAAATGACTTCCTCCACCACACAGGCCAAATCCTCTTTTGTTTTTCTATAGAAGTCTGCAGCAGATTGGTCAAAGCACATCTCTTCTGCATCCAGGCGATAGCATCCTAAGTCTATCTACGCCTTGCTGAACCACTTCCATGAAAATTACTTTTCTAATGGAAACTTTGGTTTTGTGAAAAGAAAGGAAAATGTGAGATTTGGATGCAAGCACTGAACAGATGTCTGCCTTTCAGAAA